TACCACTAAATAGGCTCCCCTTGCTGAATTGTCATCCTACGTGCAAATCGCGTCCACGTGGCTTTTATTTACTAGGTCGTGCCAAATTATTCATCATCAGTTGGTAAACATCAAACAGTTAGTTGGTCATAGAATTTAGTAGTGCATACTAATAGATCTTATTAGTGAGGGTCTAAGTTTGAATAACGCAAATTTAACATGTTCATATAGGTCCTTTGGTGGAGAATCATCAAGTACGTAGGCAACACCATGGATGTTTTTGTGTTTTTAGCATACAAAATGAGTTGCATCAATATGTTCAATTCTTGAGACATTAGGGATAACAATTCTAGTAGCATCCATTGGAGTAACGGAGCAAACACAAACAAAAAGGAGAACTAATTCTGCTTAAGTTATTGGAGAGTTAGAAGACTTATCGGCTGAGGTGTCTGTGTAACACTATTCTTAATCAAAAATTTGGTTCAACGTCACATGTGAAATAGAATTCCCAACCACTCCTAATAATAAACTCAACACTTTTCTTAATTTTTCCTCGTGGATTTCAAGCAAAGCTAAGGGAGAAAAGYGGGCTCAAAGAATGAAGGGAAACAACATTTTGAATTTTGGAAAAAGTCAAAATGGCATATGTGAGCATGCGACGTGTGGGTGTGTGCAATTAAGAGCAAAAAGACAAAAAGTTGAAAAAACAAAACTATCMTTCTAATAGGAACAAGCAAAGAAGATAAATGAGAAAAATAATAATTCTTCATGTTACATTCAACCGATTACAGCCTTTATTTATAAGGAGTTAGAGAGCCAAGGTCGGTTACCTAAGTTAGAATACAAAGAGGAAAAGTACAGCCAATTTTGGATAGGACTATCTCTCCTAGAATTAAGGAGAGTAATTTTGATAGAATACTAACATCCCCCCTCAAACTCAAGATGCTAATGTATCAATCATCTGAAGTTTGCTAAATAGAGCATGGAAGCGAAGAGGAGAGTGAGCTTTGGTAAATATATCGACAGACTGATCATGGGACGAGACAGGAACAAGG